TGGACTGTGATTATTTATTTATATTGTAATAGCATTTGCAAGCCCTGCTGTGCTCAGCCCTGCACACGCGCCCAGAAGTGACCCAGGGCGTTTCCACCACCAGGATAAGGATCCTCAAGCTGACAAATTCCCAGTTCTCAGGAAAGGATGTCTTGGAACGCAGCAAACCAGAACCAAAATTTAATCAGATGCAAGACATGTTACTGGCGGGTTGGTTTTGGCCTCTCTTGCTTTCTTCCAAACAAGCTCTCACTGTGCAAACACACCCCATGACAAAACTGACCTGGCCAAGACATGCAAGCAAATACCGCTGACTTTTAATATTAAACAGCACAGCAACTTCAAAGGAACTGGGTTCTCCTCTCCCAACAATCCCACCAGAGCTCAGCTCCAGCCCCAGAGCCATGGCCAGGTTCCAGCTCACGGCACTGCCGAGCAAGAGACACGTGTTTGCAAACAGCTGAGAGCGGTGGGGCAGATCATGCAGGGACATGCTTCCAGAAACGCTCTGCCTACCCTCCCAAGGAGAGGCAAGGTGCTTTGGTTTCCATGGGGTTGGCTTTCCATCCAAAAAAAAATAAGTCTCAGCTCGGACCTCTCCTACATCCAGACACCCAAAAGGTATCACATAACTTCGGGTGATTACATGCGGCTGTAAAAATAGCTTCTAGGAGCTAATGCCAGCAACTTCTTCCAACAGTAATACAATAGAACAAACCCAGTGCTTGCTGCAGCCAGAGAGCTGGAGAAACCCCCAGCTCTGGCCCACTGCAAACAACTGTCCTGCCTGGCTCATCCTGCTCTTGCAGCACTAAGGAGAAGCAGTTGGGGTTTGCTGGAGACAAGAGCTCAGCACCCCAAGGCCAGGAAGCTTTCACACCCTTTCAAAAAATCAGTCTCCACACTGGGGATTGAGGTTCCTTTGGTTTGTTTTTAAACCACAGTTTTGCAACAACTACAGATTGTGTTCACCTGGTCACATCCTTCTCCTGGTTGAGTTTCTGATTAAAAAAGAACTGGGATTTTCTTTCTGAGACAAATGCTCTTGGTTCTGTCTCACCCCCCAAACAAACATGCTCACACGGATGGAAGCAAAACTCCCATAAATCGAAGCAGGTCAGCGTGTCTCATAGCCAGGATGAAAAGCCTCTTTGTGCAGCAGCACGCAGGCCCCGAGCGATGTAGATGAGCCAGCAAATGCAGCCAAGAGCTCGTCCAGCGCCCTCCTTAACGTTTCTATTTCAAAGCCTTTCCAGCTCTGCTCCCTGTGTCACTCTGCTGAAGCCAGGCAATAAGGGCAAGTGAGGGAAATTCACCCCTTTACTGACACTTCATGAGTTTCCAGGCTCTCAGGTCAAACACTAAAAGCAGCACTGACCGAATCTGATCATTCAATAGCTGTCACTGCCAAATGCAACCCCAGACAAGGTCTCCTCACTGACCTGTGTTAGAGGCACCTCCCTGGCTGTGGCCACTTCGCTGTGACCAACCAAGAAGTGGCTTCAAAGAGCCTCACAAGCATGAGCCACACTCCAGCACCTAACAAGATTCCTTTAAGCAGCCTGAGCTGACTAAAGCTGTTCCACTAAGGAGAGTTTCTTCCGTAAGGGCTTAAACCTAAAACATTTACCCATCTGGGAAGAGCAAACACAGATATGATGACATGGCACAGAAAGGAGAGGCTGGATCCAGGTGAATTAACAAGTTCTGGTACATTCAACAAAACACAGCCAAAAATCACCCCCAGCCTTGGTCCAAGAGGAGAAAAGACTAGGGGTCAAGGGTAAGAGAGGGGAAAAAGTGGGGAAGGATGAAATGGAAAGCTCAGCAGCTCAGTTATCTTCTTCCGCCCCAGGAGTGCCACATAAAAAAGGGCAAGTCTACTGAACAAAGGGCAGGTGGCAGGTTTTTCCCAGGCTAGTTTTTCCCAGCAGTTTGCATGGGAATCAGGAGAGCTCTCCAGTGGGTGTGAGGAGCAAGGACTGGGCTCGCTGGAAAGCAATGAGCCCATGCACAGGAGAGGATACTCATTGCCTTGTGATTCAACGCCAAGGAAAGGCCCTGCCAAAGAGGGCTGTAGACCATGTGCTCCTGCTCCACATGAATGGTCAACATTCCCCTCTCCCCCAAGTTGGTGGCTGCACCCAAATAAGGATCCTCTTGCCAGGAGGACAAACGGGACACGGGTGCCCAGAAATGATGAGCAAGAGCCCATGAGCATCGTCACTGCAAGTGCCAGGAAAAGGCTGGAAAGGAAAACTGAAAAGCTGAAAGCACCATATGGAGAAACACAAGAGGATCCCATGGGAGAGGAACGATGAAACCCTGTACCACAGGCACGGAAACAGTCTGATTTCTCTGTACCAGCCACATCTGAGCCCGGTGCAGGAGCCGCGGCCCCAGCAGTGGGGACACACCACGCGGCTCCGGCCCCACGAGCCCGTGGGGAAGGAAAGGCTCAGCCTTACCGCGTGTGGTCGAGCAATCTGAACCGGATAGGACATGGCATGCGGGGGGTAGCGCGGCTCGGCCGCGCGCCAGCTCTGCGTCACGGGCTGCGTCGATCCAGACATGTCGAAAGAGCAGGCGTGTCAGCCGCCGCTTCCAAATCGCCGACAAAGGATTAGGAGAGCCAAGAGCTCCTCTTCATCATGGGTGTGCTCTCCACGTCACACAACTGGAAGGAAACAGGAAAGCGGCAGGTTAAAAAATTCGGTCGACCACAGTCCCGTGAGACAAGCGAACAATCATGCCTTGGGCGATCACCAAAACCTCACTGCCCTTGCAATTCCCCAGCAGTCCTGTTTTCCACTTGGCAAACCACACTGCCAAGTTTTTGCTGTAGATTACAGAGAAGTCCAAATAGAAGATTTTCACAAATCCATCCCACCCCATTTCCCTGGAAAGCCTTTCCCCAGCACCAGCGGGACCAGGTCATCAAACTGCCAGCAATTTATTTGGGCCCTGTTAAGCTGTTTCCAAGTCTCTTGGGGATGGGTATTTTTGGGGGATGGTAGTTCCCAAACACACAATCTAGAGTTTTGGCACACAAGGTCTAAGGGCACAAGGTCCCTCCCCAACCCATCCCTTTCCACATACAGGCTCTCATACATCTGCACGTGTTTCTGTCAGTGCTCTCCTTTCCAAGCTGGGGCCACTTTTGCAGCCCCCTGAGTTAAGCTCCTGATCTATGCCAGGAGGGACACCTGGCACCAATCTGCCCTGCAGTTTCATCCACCCACGAGGCTACACTAAAACCCAGGACTAAAGCATGTCACACACCTCCAGTGCCACCTGGATCAGCCTTTCTGATCAGACACAAGAGCCAGAAAAGGCACCTTGGCCCCGAGGGTATTTTCACAAACACCTCTGTCACCCACACTTCTTTATCACCTGTTGCAATTCCTTTTGCAGCTGCAACAAAACCAGGAAAACCAACAAAGTAGGAGGACATCCCTTTGCCCCCTGCACTTGGGGGATGCTTCCAGGACTGATCCTGAGCAGGGAGAGCCTCAGCTCCCTGGGACCCGTTCTCCATCCCACCCAACACTGCACACACTCTCATGCCTCCTGCCCAGTGCAGAGACACGCTACGTATACATTCATCCAAAGTTTTTTGCAGTATCATAATCCTCCATCAGCACACCAGGAGCAGCAGAAGAAGCTTCCAATGCCATGAGCTCCCAACAGACTCTCCCCATGTTGGTGGTCTCTGTGCATGGGGAGCACAGCCAGCCCCAGCCAACGCAACTTCAACTGAAACGGCAGTTGGCATGTACAAGAACCAAAAAGGGGGTGGGAAAGGGGGGAAAAAAAGGAAAATTAAAAAGAGGAAGTTTTTCTATTTTTTTCCTCCTCCTGTGTGACCACAGATCAGCCCATGCTGATAAACCCCTTGCTATCTGCTGCAGGCAGGCACAGGGCTGCCTCGCTGGTTTGCCAGCATCAATTCACTGCTCACAGCCAGAAATAAAACCAAACCAAGGCAACGGTCCCTGGCAGTCTGGGCACAGTGAGCAGCCAGAGGAAAGCAGCACAGGGAGGCTGCTCACACTGAGGTGAAATTTTACAAAAATTGGATTTTTCGGCAAATCTCCATGAAGGCCTAAGGATGACAGACAGGCAAAGAAAAAAAGAGGGTCAGCTGAGCCTCTTGGGAAAAAGGTATTTTGCCAAGTAATGTACAGGAAAACACACAGCAAGGTTTGACTCTCAGGACAGGGAGCAGAGGGACAACCAGGTCACTCTGTGCAGAGGAGCTGGGATTCCCCCAGCCCTGCACACACACATCCCTGCCAAGCCCCAGGGCACCTTACCTGCCACCCCAGGGAAGCACCAGTGCCCTGGGAACAGCCTGAGCCTCATCCCAGACGAGACAGCCTCCCCATGCAGGAGCTTGGCATGCCTGGTGCAATCCACCTCCAGCAGGAAAGCCCCTGCGCACGCAGGGGAATTCAGAGGCACCCAGAAAACAGCCAGTGCATGTTTCTACTTCCAGTATGACTGTCCCACTTCCCCTCACGCTTCCGACTGGATGGGATTTTAATCACCAATTCCCACCCAAAGCTGGGGGCTGTGCCAGGAGCATGTGGTTCAACAGCCACTCTGCTCACCCTTCAGGGACACAGCAGCACCCTCCCAGCTCTCCTGCAGCTCATGTGCACTTTTCTAGGGGCAAACCCTCCCTGCAGCTGCCAAGGACACCGGCACTGGGCTCTCAAGGGCTCCAAAAGTTCGCTGGGATCTGCAGTAGTTTAAGGTACTTTCCTAACAACGGATTCAAACTCGGACACTTTGGCTTGCAGCCACCTACAAGTTAATTAGCACATGTAAATATAGATATACATACACCCCAACTTGGGGGGCCCAGAGCCCTTGGCAGCTTTCAGCAAGCCAACGACTTCCCTGGTAGCTCAGCAGGTAGACCTGACCATGCTGAGCTGGCTGTCTATAGTAAAAGAAATGGGATGATTCCTCCTTTTATAAACTATTCAGATCAGAAGTACTGCTTAAAACTCAGCACCAGGTGCAAAGCCACATGGTATCAAGCTCTAAAACAATTTAAAAGCTTTTTTGTCTCTGTCTGTGCAACAAAGAGAAAAGTTAACTCTTTACTAAAGGGCTACAGACACAGTATGAAATTACAGGGGCCAACAAAACCATCCTGCACCAAGACACGGTGCCTGTAAGCTGTGTCCTGAACTAATCACACGCAAGCAGGAACACAAAAGGGATTTTTCCCTAACAAGGGCAGCAAACCACCTCTGCTTCTACTATGGCTTTTTGTTACAAGCCCTAGAAAGCCACAAGTGCTTGCAAACAGGTGAAGAAGCACTGCCCATGTATTTCCACACCTGCAAACAGCAGGTCACCAGCAAGATCTCAGTGCAAGCCCTAGGCCCTGGATGTCTCCACCCCAGGAGGACTGTAGGCTGGAGCCAAATGAGATGACCAAAGCACTAGAGCAGCTCCACAGATCCCATGACCTCAGATCCCATTTTTACACTCCTTGTGCCCAGCCCAGCACTGCCCTGGGGAGGAGATTCTGTGACTAACCAGCAGCAGGGCTGGGGGTGCTCCCACTGGGGAGTACAGTGGGAGCACAACATCTTGCTGCCAGGCTCTTTAAAATCAAACTGTTTGGTTCCCAGCTTTCTCAACTGATTTTGATGAGGAACAGACATTGTCTCACAGGAAAAGTATTTCCCCCCCCCAGTTGGAGTCTCCATCTGAGACTGTTTTACCCACAGACCTGTGTTAGCCATTACATTAGGTACCAGGAGATTTACAATCTCTGATTAGGAACAGGAGAAAGCTGGAGGTTACCAGCAAACCCAATGCCAGGGCTGCAACATGTACCTGAGGCTGAGGTGAGAGCCCACAGAACCTCTTGCACCCCTTTATTTCCACCTGTTGAGAGACTCCCAGGATTCTGCCCCACTGCTGAAACGTCCAAAACTCCCCCATCTTCCCCCTTGCCACAACACTGCTCTCCTGTTTCTCTTCTTCATATGCCATTTACTGCCTAAAATTGTTTCCCCATCACCTGTTCTTCTAATTCACACCATGAAAGCAGGCTACAAGCCATTGCAAGTTGCTGCAGGCTGACCTGCATGCCAAGAAGCTCTGCCCACATGCCCAGCTGCCCCAGTGCCTGCCAGCTCCCAGCAATGACCTCCAGCTTGGGTGCAGCCCATGCTAATGGACTGCACAGCACCATGCCAAGCACATCCATATCCAGCCCAAAGGCTCAGTATGGAAAAACCCCCAACACCCTGCAGTCACCTATGGGTTCCCAATCACTTGGACCCAGGGCTGTCCAGCTCCCAACCACGGTAAAACACACACTGATATACAGTCAGGACCATGCTAAAACCCTACAGGTCTAAAATATGGGTTTGCAATTAAACAGAGTTCAAAAAATTTTAATGAACGCCATTAGCCACACTTGGTGCTCTTTGAAGTTTGAGCAAACTATCCCGATCGGCTCAGGACTCCTCGGGGAGAGGATTCCCGGGCAATGTCCCTGGCTTCACTGACAAAACACAAATGTGGGCCAGTTGCAGAAATTACCCTGTGCCTCAATTCATCTGTCTGAAAGGTGAGAACAAGAAGTCACTCCCAGCTCACAGAAATTTCCTGTTCATCCATGCTCTGAGGAGTTTTAACGATCCCAATGAAAACACGTGGCTCAAGCTTGAAAATATACTTTTTTTTCCTTTGGAAAAAAAAAAAAAAAGCAAGGACATGCTGAAATAAGAATAACAGAATATTTTGTTTCTTAAGGCCAGAGCAATGTTACTCAACTTGTGGTCTACAGACCATGGATGGTCTACAGAAAACGTTAGGAAGCAGCCCACAAAATGACTGCAAAAGACCTTAATAAAAGGCAAAAATTAGTACCATCATGCCATGCAGACGAGGCAAATAAGTGAAATGCTGCTGGCACTCACCAGGGCATTTAACTGAGGAGTACTGACAACAAAGCTCATGTTTAATTACATTAAATGATGCAGTTTTTGGAAAAACCAACCAAGTCATCTTTAATCAAACGTTAAATACGTGAAGATTTTCCTCCTCACACAAGAAATAAAAGGTATATAACTGCCAGTCAACTCGTGTCTTTTGAAATAAAAGTTAAGGAGACCTTTGTTAATAATGCTTAATTAATACTGAGCTATAAGATCCATCTCCAAGAGTCCAACCAACCCCTGATGATTAAACAAACCCCAGACCTGTGTGTGGCACAGAAGAGCATATTGCCCATCAGCTGCTGCCCCACTGACATGTCACTCAGCTCCAGATCAAAACCACACCTGAAAAAGCAGCTAAGAGATTTACCCACTCTTGCTTTAAAGGACTAGTGGAAGCAAAAACAATTAAGATGGGATGAAAATGGGTAGAGAGACACTCCTAGAAAATGCACCACAATGTAACGCTAATGGATTTGTCTAATCAATATGTGCATGAAATTTTCTTGGAAGACAGTTGACATTATACACAAATATTTGTATGTACTGTATCTATTAAGTCCTTTCAAGAGGAAAGCAGGCTGTCTGCCATAAATTTAGGG